GGGGGTAGATTGAGGCCCCCATGATGAGGGAGGGAGTGGGGGCCCAGGTGGGGGTTTAAACCTTGCTTCCCCAGTCATTCTTAGCAAGCTGGCCAGGGCCTGGCCACACCCCCCTCTCTGCTTGAGCAGGGAGTGAGGGGGAAGCCTCCGAGGGCTTCTCTGCCAGCTTCACTCCCTTCCTTTCATCAGTGGCCGGCAGGTTGGGAGCCATGCTCTAGTGCCCCCAGCTTTTGGCCTGAGCCACTGCGGGCGTGTGGCTGCATTTCCAGATTCAAAAGTGAATGTCTGTTCACTTGCTTCTTGGTTCAGTCTACACAGTTGAGACCAGTGGTTCCCAACCTTTTTTTGCTGCAACCCTAAATTGGCCACCAACAGGACCTCCCGACCCAGTGCCGCAGGGGTTGCTGGGAGCGGAGGGCACCTTTAGCACCTTCAGGCTGCACTTTGTAGTAGAGATCTCCTGCAGCAGGGACCAAAATTTGTGAGCTTGGCAACGTTGTATTCATCTCGCATGGTGAATATGGACAAAGGAGAGTTGAGGAATGAATGTTGAACTTAAATTAAAAACATATATATCGATATACAACTAACTGGTCTTTGTCTGACTGCAGTGAAAGATAGAAGATGTATGGGAAAACAATTTATTCAGATTACTTTTTAATTCATTCATATTACCAAACCAGAGATTCAAAAATCATGGATTGAGCCTTCCAAAAAGATTTTAACAGAAGATCTGAATGCTCTTTTTACCTCTTGTATGTCAAAATTGGGTCATATTACTAGCTGTCTTTCTACAAGAATGATAGTAAGAAACCTTTTAAAGAAAACTGAGATTCTCCTATAATCACATAAATCCAGAAGCTGAGTATTGAAGAAAAACACCAGAAAACACGATGTAATTGGAAACATGAGAGGCAGCAGTATGTACATGTGTGTGTGTGATTTTTTTTTTTTTTTTTTTTTTGATGAAAGCTTGATCCAGCAATGGCATTGGATTACTATAAACAATGGAGAGCTTTTTCCCTCCTCCATCTACTGTTTGTATTTAAACAAATGTTAGTTCATCTTGACAGACTAGAGGCCTTATAGCATATTCTGTCACTTGTTGCATAGTAAGATAATGCTCTGAGTAAACTGAGCCTTAACAAAATGATTCAGAATAGTGTGTAATCATTATGCTAATGAACCAATGAAAGAGGATAGTTCTTAAATTTCAATTAATTGTAACTTTGTAGGTTTCAATCCCAGGTTGAAGTTTAAAACATGATTGCTTCTACAAATTTAAAGGAGAATTGGAATTTAAAATCCCTGGGGATTGGAATACAGAGCTCCAGGATTTGTCATGCATTTGTGATCTTTTCCCTTTGCATCTTGATGGTAAAACCCAAAATGTTTGTATTCACTGTGTGGGGCAGGGACTTGAGCTGGCACAGTGCAGCTGTATTAATTGAATTTTTAAACTGTTTAAATAATTTAATCTAGGGTTGTGACCCTGTGAGTTTATTGTTGTCAATTCTTTGCTTAGTATAGAAAGTGCTTGAGATTGATTAATATTTAGATAGTGCAAGTCAACATGCATTGACTGTTTAGTGTCCACCTTCCAGTAAAGTTCTCTGTTTGTTTTTAATGGTGTATCTTCACTGGATCTGAGGTAGAATCGTGAACACTGCATGGAAATCTTGAATACTGATGCATTAAAGAATGTACCAGGTAACTAGATTGTATCCCATTATGTCCTAAGGTCAAGTATTTAGAAGTAATAATTACTGAAATATGCCAAGGGAATGGTGAGACAGGAGCATGTAACTGACTTTATTTGACATTTTTGTGCTTCTTGCATTTCTTAGATATAAAATAAAATTCATAATAAAATTACCATCTTTTTAAAAATGTTGCATAGACCTTAGTTTTTTTAGGGATGTATCATTGTATTCTAAATTGGTTGTCAACATCCTTTTGTGAGTTCCCCCTCCCCACTCCAACTTCTTTGAATCAGTTCACATCTAAACTTGTAGTTAATGTCTTCAGTTTTCCCATGTGTAATGATTGACTTATCTGATTAATTTATGTAGGTTCACTTACTTCTGTTAATGCTCATTCTTTGACTGGGAACAACTTGTACTCTTCTCTATTATAATACCTTTCATGTGTTTAAATTCTAGACAAGTCTTATCCTGAAAAATAAAACATATAGTGTTGGTCCATATGCATTTTATTCCTCTCCTCTGAATGTTTAGCTATTCTGAATACTTCCAGAACTGAAAACTATTCTCTTGAGGCCTAAGAGGATATAGTGGGGGGAAATGTCCAGCAAGAGGCATTCTTGTTGACGTTTGGTATGGTGTTTTTGTTCCTGGAGCGCTCAGACCCTAATAAAGTAGGATTGGGATTGAGATTATGCTAAAGGAATAATGCTGTTTATTAATACTGGCTCTGCTTCACAGAAAGGAGATTTCCAGGGTGGCAACATTTTATAGTAACATCAATATCTGTGATCTGAGTTCTTGTAAGAACTAATTTCTGTCAGTTTGTCTTGGTCCACACACATGTTATTTAGACAGAGAGTTGGCCCACAATTACATCAGCCCTTCTCTCTGTCTCTCTCCCTCTCTGTCTCTTTCTCCCTTTCCTTTTATGTTACTGTGCATTTACATATTTTCTTCAGTTGTAAAATTGCATGATGACATGTTGGAAGCAGCTTTTGATTGAATAAGAAGAAAAGAAAATCACATTCAAATGTAATTTTCTTTATCTAGCTGCACAACAGTATTTCAGCACTTTCACATACAAAATACAACCAAACCCATTTTCCGTCTAAATTCCTTTCTTCTTGGATTGAAGAGAACAATGCACGTCTCCATACCAGAGCATTTTATGTGATTTTTGTCAACAGACTTGAGCCTGCTGCCTTTCAAAATGATTGCCCCATCTGTAGACAGCAGAATTCTTAATGAGTTTAAAACTGTAGTTCACCAGGGGGAAACACACACACACACGTGTGTGTGTGTGTGTGTGTATGTATGTATGTATATGTAATAGCTATACATGCCACAGTTTTATGAAACAATACATATGCAAGTGCTGATTTATAAAAAGGAATCAGAACGTGTGGTAGAGGTGATATCTTTTATTACAGGGGTGGGCAGAATGCGGTCTGGGAGCTGGATGTGGCCCACCAGGCCATTCTGTCTGGCCCACAGGGCCCCTAAAAAATTTAGAAAATGAATATTTATCTGCCCTGGGCTGCCTGTTATGTGGCCCTCAGTGGCTTGCCAAAACTCAGTAAGCGGCCCTCTGCCCAAAATAATTGCCCGCCCGTTTTATTAGATCGACTAGAATTTTGCAAAAAAAAAAAAATAGTTTTAATTGCAAGTTTTGAGGCACAAACACCCTGCTTCAGGCATAGGAGGAAAGACTGTAAAAGTTTTCCTGGGTAGAAATGAAAGTTCATATTTCAAAAGAGAGTTGAAAGTGTGGTAAAATCTCCTGTTTGGAACACTTCATTTTATTATGCAGATTGGGCTCAGAGAAAAGTTGGAATAGTCTGTTTACTTCAAAGTTGTTTGGTGGTTGAGTGGGCTAGGAGCAGTCCGAGGCCATCGGGGGGCCTGCGCGTGGCGGGCTGTGGCCAACAGCCCGGACATGCCGGGTCGGGGAATGCAAGCCGGCGGGCTAGAATTAGGCACGGACGCTTAGCGGTTGATTAAAGATTATTTTACTTACACCGAAGATGGTCGCGGTGCAGGCAGGAAAACTTGCTTGAGTTGCAGTTACAGAAAGGAAAGAAGAAAAGCGGACAAGAGTTCCTTCCACGCGAACCTCTAGCCCAATCCGGTTGAAGGCTCTAAACACGCGAGCCCGTCGCGTCAACCAAAGAAAACAACTCGAAGCAGAGAGCTCTGGATACACTCACACGAAGTTTGCTAGGCTCCGTGGAACTTGCGCGCAGGGAAGGGGTTCGTCGAGGGATCGTTCGGTGGAGTCCTCCCTTGCGGGGTTCTCCTCGGAGTTCTCCAACTTGGGCGGAAACCACTCAAGCCTCTTATACGGCTAGCAAGCCAATCACTAGCCGCCACGTGGGAATAATTTAGAACTGGCCAATAGTGGGACACAAATTTGCATGCGAATGGCGGGAACTCCTTTGCACCGTGCATTTCTCTTTGCAACTAAGAAATGCACCCTGCAAAGAAAGCTCCTCGTGGCGGGAAATAATTTAGCAGTGCCGAAGCGCGCACAAACAAAATCACACCCTTGGGTTGTGACAGTGGTAAGCAGGATGGATTCATATTTCCTTCTGGTTGTGGTGTTTCATATTTCACAGAGGAGTAAAAAAAAATGGATTGCTTTTCCGGGCAGGGATTTCTTATATGGTGAGGTGTCTGAGCTCTGTGATGATGCAGATTACCTTGAACAAAGGCAGGAGCAGGGTCTCAGATTTCAGGTGGTTAAACTTGCCTCCTCCTTGTAAAATTATGAAGATTTCATTAAAAAAAATCGGCTAAAGTTCATTTATGCTGATTTATAGTATTTATATACATTTATTTATGATTTATAGTATTTCTTATAGAAAATTAATTTTAAACTCCCTCCCCCCTCCCTAAACACACGCGTATTTGTTTCTTCCCCACACGGCAGTTTTAGACATTTATTGTGACGTGAACTTAAACTGCTTATAGAGGAGGGGGCACCTTCAGACAGTGTACTGGAGTTCACTTTACATCAGTTGTTACTGCTCCCAAAGCAGAACGAAAGCTCCCAAAGACGTACTCATTGTTGATTACATCATATTTTCACTCTTTTTCAATTAAGTAACGTTTTGTTCAGAGCTGTGAATTTGCACCAGGTACCAGAAAATGTAAAACCTTCTTGGCCATAGTGGAAAGGTATCTGTTTACCAAAAAAACACATTTTAGTCCCTCTGGTTAGTGTACAATATATGCTATACCTGAGAAGACTGGTCTAAAATAGCCTCTGTCTTTCAGAAGAAAGTTAACAGTTGCATGGCTTTGTGTTCCTTTGCTTGTTTTTTAAAACTGCCTTAGTTTCACGTTCGCATTGTTTCATAAAATTCATTAGTAACAATGAATGGATGCTACTACAATATTAGGCAAGCTTGGCAGTTTCAAAGTTGTAATTAATGTTTTTCAGGTGATTATCCCTAGGAAGTGTGAGGGAGAGAACGTATATGTTTTATTGATTTGTAAACAGGAGGGTAAATACACTCACATAATAATCCAAACCAAAAATCAAGTATGAATTCACCTAGTTGGCTATGCAGGTCAAATCAAAACCAAAGCATGGCAGATCACGCACAGTTCGTTGGGTGTGCTAAAATTAGTGTGTCAGCAGTTTTCATTGCCTTCGGGTTTTTTCCTTACATTTTAAACAAACAATGCAAGGGAAGTACATGCTATTGTTATTGTGTATTGTCTTTACATTTTTATAAGTATTCCAATAAAAAGAATTTCTTTCTATATCAAGCTTTGAATTTGTTTGAATATAACAAATACAACATTTAAACCACATTAAGTATGCTGTATTTAATTTTTTCCTAATCAAATATTTCAGTTCAAATACTTGTGGCTATTGGGACATAAAATTAACATGGGGGTACTTTTTTAGTTTTGTTTACTAAATACAAGTCACATAAACATGCTAAATCAGATCACGTTCCATTTAGGGCATTGAAACATTTTCTGGAAAATTTTACAATTCAAAATTTTCCGGAAAACCCACATCTCATTCTCTGGGCATGCCTGATCCTTCTAACATCTCTGTCCAGGGGTGGGCAAAATACAGCCTGCGGGCTAGATTTGGCCTGCCAACTGATTGGAAGTGGCCCATGGCTGCTCCTGCAGCACACTCTGTAGGGACGAGCCCTGCCTCGGGCAGCCAGTGCTGCAGTACTGCCCATGACCACAGGCCCTGGGCCCAGCTAGCATGCACAGCCTGCCGGCAGCACTGCTCCCAGTGTGGCTGCAGCCACCCAGGTGCTGCTTAGTTCCCCTTACCTCCACCGGCAATTTCTCCTCCTGCTCCTGCCGCATTGCTCTGGGTGGGGAGGAAGCCTCAGCCGGGCGGCTCCTGCCCCAGTTCACAGGGCTCCAGCTCCAGGATTTCTAGCTGCCTTCCATCCGTTCTGCCCACTTGGCACAATGAACAGCCACACGGACAGCCCTGGACTGTACCGCCTGGGCGAGCTCTGCTGCTTGCACACCCTGCCCCCTCCTGCCTCCCATCACCGCTGGCTGGCTCCTAGGCCCTAATGCCCAGGCAGCCCTTCTCTGCACCCCGCCCCCCGTGCAACATGTGTGCATGCCACAAACCACCCCCACACCCCTCCCCTCAGGGCAGGGGCATGCAAGGAGCGGATCGTGGCTCTGCCCCAAGCCCTGGCCCTGCACATCCACGCCCGTAGAACTGGGGTTTTGCCCCAGCCCCAATCTGTCCCTACCCTGTGATCCCAGAGTGATCATGGAGACTGTCCAGTGTCGTGTGTGTGGGGAGCTGCCACTGGGGACAGGGCTGGGATGTTGGGGCAGTGACAGTATGGGGCTGGGGCCAGCGCCGTGCATGACCCTGGACCGTGCCCACAGAACCCATGCCCGTCGCAGGGGTGTGTAGGCGGTGGATCATGGCTCTGCCCTGGGCCTCAGCTCTGCACTGTTACCACCCCATGATCCAGCCTCGCCTGCCGGTCCTGTTCCCAA